GCTCACTACTATTGCTTGTAATAATCCCATGGTAGCGGTAGCATTCTTCCTCAAACGTGTAAAATGAAACGTCCCAAACAGAACTTTCCAGTAGTAAGGTCATATTACTCGAGGTTTGAAGATAAATGATAACCATCACTTGGTAGGTCCGTAAAATACATTGTCCTTCAGATCCGTTTCTGTTTTCGTGGCTTTCTGTTTCCCAAAACAAAGCATAGGCCTAGATAAGCATATGTTTTTCTCCCTGAAATCATTCCCTTTTTAAATACCACCATACATAATCAAAAATGTTCTAATTATATATGTATATATTTGTATATATTTATTACTTACTCTCCGAATTTTCTGCCAGAAGGGAAGAAAACAATTTGACGAATCGTAGCACAGATGTAGAGGGGGAAGTTGAGATTGAGAAGTAGGGAAGAAATAAGAGGAAGGAAGAAAAATGAACAGATATTTGCGGAGCTAACCAAAAAAACCAAGTGAAGACGACTTAAAAAAGGGAGTGGAAGAGGAGGGGATGGAGAAGATAGGCGATACTTTCTACACAGTCAGTCGATCGTACATAGAAGAAAGGTAGATATAAGTTTTTATAAAAATAGTAGTAGCATAGTTTTAGAGAGTCAGAGAACCATAGAGAGAAACAACTAAGATGGGGTCGCGCACTCGCGCAGAAACACATAACGAAGCACGACGAGGTCGTATGAGAGGTTGGTTGCTGGTGGGTTCGCGCACACAGTTGTTTTTGTAGAAAGGGAACAAATTTGTTTGTTAAATAATCCATGTTCTTATGGTGGAAAGTGGACGGCATCGATCAATCGAAAGGGGATGGGACGACTTTGCTGGCAGAGCGGTGGGGTAATCGGAAATTATGAAGGCGCAGTGTGGGGATGAGTGTGGTTGTGAAATTTGATCCCAGTCCTGTGCACGCGTCAGCGAAAGTGGACAGGTAGGGCTTGATTTATGAAATTGATGAGATTTGAGCTCGGCTGGTTTGGCTCCAGTTGGCACATTACGTAGACTGCATGCTCCGTCATGGTAAAACGAGTCTTCTTCACAACTATTGCAAAAATTCTGTGGATCAAGGAGAAAACAATACTTTTAGTAAATCGGCCAGTCACTGTGAACATCCTGTGCTAGTAACCCTATTCAAAGATACAAAGTTATCTTGTGCAGGTTTTAATTATTGCGTATTAAATACTGGATTTTGGTAGCGGTAGGAGTATGCTACATTTAATGGCAACGATTTATTTACAAGAATGTTTTTTTTTTAAAATAGGTTCCTAAATTAAGACGGAGAAACAATTTGAAATTTACGACAAGGATTATTTTTCAAATACAAGTTAAGAGATGCATTACATAAACTTCGAATCGCTTAGTGTGCTACTGCTGGGAATAATTGAGAACTCATAAAACTTTCCTGTTTCGATTGTCCAGAAGTTTCCTTTTTCGCACTTACTTTCCGAGCCTTCTAGAAAGTCTTGAAAATTGCACTCTTGTTACGATACTTGATTTGCCAATACCACGTATGGATGGATTCTAATCATGCTAATAGTCACTATAATGTTAGGGTCAATCAAAATATCATAGATAAGTGAGACTCTAACCACCCTGGGTCCCCAACCCTCAGCCCAACAGCCAGGTAAGCACCTGCTCTAACTTCACTCTACTCATACTTGACGGCAAATAAGAGTGTCTATATTGAAGTCTTTGTCTTCTGCTTGCTCTAAACGGGAATTTTCTAGAACTCAAGCTCAGGCCCATAAGCACCAGTTGATAAATGTTCCGTTATTTAATTTTGAACAACAAACACTAGTTCATTGAAACGACGAAGTCACTAGTCAAATTTTCAAAAAAAAGGACTTACAGAGAATCAGCTACTCCACGATTTTTTAATTCAATTGCATTGAACCTAAAGCGAAAACATGGGAATCTGTCAAAATCGGACCACTTCTCCGCTATTGAAATTTATCAAAAGTCAACATAAAAATATACACTCGTTCTTCAGGGTCGTAGGCGCAGTAGAGGATCTTGTTAGCAGGAATCGATTTCTTGGTAAAGCGAATGCTGTTCTTGTCAACAATGGTGAGGCCCTTGTCAACGGAGCAGAGCACCGTTGCCTCACATTTCTTTTTCAATCCCTTATTGGGGTTGTTAGCCTGTGAGAGCACCTGCTCCACCGCCCGTCTGACCGCTGACTCCCCTTGGAGAGGGAAGACGTCCATACTTCCCAAGTACAAAACGTCACAAACTAAAAAGAGGGAGCAAAAAGTTTCACTCGCACTCTGTTTTGTTGAGTACGAAGACTACATACCACGTCTATTTGTATATGAGGGCGATCGTTATCAATGCATGGAAACTCTTGCAAACCATCATTCATTTCGGAAACAGCTCTTAATCTTATAGTGCCTTTTTCTAGCGAAATTTCAAATCACTAGAAACCGAATCTATCATATTAATGACAACACTCATGTTTTTTGGAGTATTAATCACCGATACTATTTCTTTAGTGGATGCATAATTTTTCTTGCTTATCTTGAAAACCAAGAGGTACATTGTCTATGTGTCAGCTATAATCATACTTTAAGCAAATATGAGAGAGCAAATAATGTTTTAATAATTTTGCTTAATAATACATACTAAAGCATGCGGAAGTGTTTTGAAAATAGTCTGACTATCACCATCATCCACTTTGGTGAGTAAAAAAGGAGGAGGCATTTAGACGTCTATTTCACGAAAGTTTGTTATTTTGGTACAAAATTCCTCATTTCATAAGCAAGGTTTTGCCACATGTTAGTGATATCTAACGAAATACAATCAGCAAGAATACTATGCAAAACTGTATTAATAACAACAATATGACTTATCATTGTCACACACTGGAAGTCACTTTACCATTTTACAAAACAAATATCGAAACCCAATTGTTTAACAGTCTGTCCCCTCAATCCGTATTTGATTACTACAAATGCAATTTTATTGTAAATGATAAATTCACGACCTACAAAAGACAAAAAGGGATGCCCATAAACCATGCAGAAAAAGCAAAACGCAGCCTCAACTTTTAAAGATAGCGGGTTGGATGAACTTTGGGAAATCTCCTACTTGTCTCTTTTCCAAAACGAAATAAAATAAAGGAACTTGATTATACACTCCAAATTTAGGTACAAACATAGCGTGTTCTCGGTAAAATCACATATTAATTAGCCAATGTATCTTTTGGTCCAAATCAATAATAGATCTATAAACAGGTAAATAACTTAGTGTGGCGTTACTGCCTGATGCGTTTAAATAATTTAATCTAGTCTACAATATGATTAATACCTACCAACCAACTAAAAAGCTCACCGAAATCCAAGCCACTTAAAGTTTGTCGACCGGGTAAGGGGCTCTGCTGTCCGGCTAGGTAGTTACTCGATAGCGCACTCCTCATAGGCAGTTTGAGGAGGACTGGAAGAGCGCCCTGATGAATAGTGTGGTCGTGCACGAAAGCTGCCAGTGACGGAAATATGGGTTCACTTTCAAATCCCCTCAGGTGCACTGCGTCGCCTCCCTTCACGCGATTCAGCAGGAACGTCCTCACAGGTTCCGTGTCCTCTGAAAAACGCCAAGACGCAAAAATTGGCCATAAGATAATTATTCTCTATGGTGTTTAAGTAGACGCGGTTTTTGAAACTCGCCGGCTGTTAATGGCACTCGAACGACGAGAGCATAGGAGTTTGGCTGAGATTTGCTTGCACGTATGATAAAACGTCCGGGCTCCTTATTGATAAGCATCTGTATCGCCTCTTGACGCGAAGCGCTCGGACGGAACCAGTGGTACGAGAGGTCATTTGTCTGGGTTAGCGTGTGACGACTGTCCATTGTGTCGAGGGCCATGTGGTTGGCTTGTGCTGGACCTGTTGTGAAGCTACCGCCGTGTAGACTTCCCATTGAACACCCCAAACCTGTAACATCACGTTTATGTGCTAGGTGATTACAGACACAAGCCCATGTACTTTAAAGAAACCTAAAGTTAAAGCTAATTTCCCGGTTCTCCAGCGAAACAACTCATAATGGGAAAATTGGATTTAAACTAGATTCAAGGACTGAGTGAGGCCTATGAAGCAGGGACTGGCTCCGTTCCTTAGATGAAGACGTTGGAAAAATTTCCGTCGAAAAGACGAGTAGTGTGAAAGCCTTTGATACCAGTTAGCTTTCCACCCTTTGGGTTGATGAAAATAAACCAAAAGAAACTCCACCATGCTATTCAAATAATCAAAGCAGGTTGTATCTTAGAGAAGCAATTGGGGTAAGAGACACGCAGTTCTGGAATTAAACATCAATAATGAGTTTGGCATTTTTCCAAAAAAAGGACTTGCCGTTAACATTGGACCAATGGGATTCATTCTGAACAGTTCGTGAACGATGCTCAGAAACAACTCGACCTCCATGCTGACGTGATAGTACTCTAAAGAGCAGTGGAAAAGAATGCGAAAATAGCCATAAATTACGGATTAAAGTGAACCTATAAATGCATTAAAACATCCCTCTTCACATAAGAAATGTGTGTGTTTATTACCATGGATGGAAAATAAGTTTCCAGCGTCTCTTCAAAATGATAGGTAATAAGCTACAAATGAAGTAAAAAATGGGTAGGAAAAGCCTTATTTGGTCGCCTGATGAAATAATCGTATCTCTGTCTGAAATGCGACCCGTTATTTCCAAGTAGACAGTAACAGATAGAAACATTCCAATCTATAAATAAGTGACAATAATACGGATGAGAGTAAGTGTTGCCTGAAAATTGATTAAATGTAGGTCGACTCGCATGATGAATGGCATTAAATTCAGCCTTTTTTCCGCCGTTTAAAAAGCCCTTTAAGAAGTAATCTACGCACATTTTCCCAGACTTGGCAGACCTTGGCGTTAGCTCCGATTTGAAAGTGTTAATAAAATCGTAGCTCGATATCGTCACATCAACCAACTCAGCGCGTGCGTACCTGTTTATGTGTATTTTGCCTACTTTTTCTTTACTTTTGAAACCAATCAACTCAGGGTCAATAGTGCTTTGCCAGGCGGCTAATCTCATCACTGGCGTCACGAGCGAAATTAGTGTCCCTCGTCTCGTCTTCGTTGCACAAAAAGTCAAGACATATCACTAGCTTACTGACACAAGGAACTATTTTCTGGGTCTTTTTTCATCAAGTTACCTCAGCTTCTAACAAGGCATAGAGTAAATACAATTATCAGCTGTTAGTGGGGAAGAACTCGAATTTTTGCTCAACAAATAAAGTTAACTACTTTGTGGCTCATCTATGGCTTTAGCAGAACCCAAATATTGAAACATTATTGTTATACATTTAGTTTGTGTTAGACCATTTCACAGCTCCAATAGGAGATTAAGTTGAAAATAATCTCACTGAAATTTCACATTAGATCAATTATCAGAATTCAGTCGTTGCCTTCGCTGTTATTTTGAAGTCTCCTTAGATCTCGATCTCTGTAAATTGTAAGCAAAAATTACCCATAACTTTAGCCAAAACCACTTCTTTGTATTAATTTAAAGACCACTCAAAAATGTTTCATCCTGGCAACTGCCTTGTTTCAATTGTTTAGAAAGCAGCAATAAAAGCTACAAGAAGGTGTTTCTAAACGGAATTTAAGTGGTATCATCGTCTGTTAAATTTAATAAACTGTCAGATATCGCGACGCACCTTTTATTGAAGAAATGCATATTTAATTAAGTCTTAACACCTCTTTCAACTTCATTAGAAATTTTTTTAGCCTGTCGATGCTGTCGCTAAATTTCTCATCAATCCATTGACCTATAAAAATATCAAAAACTTTGCTAACAAATCTATATTCCCCAAATTATTTTCATGTCTGTGTGTGAAAGTGCAAAAAAAAACAAGATTTTTGGAAGAATAAGAAATTATATACCTCCTGCCATTGTCGGACCCATTCAGTCCTCTGCCTTTCTATGGTGCTGCATTTGCAGTGGCGGTAAGCGAACAAAATCCAAACCAAATACCAATTTGAGTTCATTTACTATATACCACATCAAAACGTCACAAAAGCCATCTGTCGTGGATAGTGGACTCCTGGAGACTCAATACAGAAAGAGTGAAACTACTTTCACCATTGAGAAGTCCTCAATTTCGAGTACTTTACAGTTACCCTCAATAGACGTGATCAAGATTAAAAGTTGAAACCAACCTTGAAATAGGCAACTACCATGTGTCTCTAGACACAGCTACTTATGAGCAGGTGCGAAAACATGGCATCTTCCTTCCTAAAACTTCCGTTAGACAAAAGCCTTTAGCGCTCCCGCTCAACTCACTTCTTCTTTGATGCAGTTTGTCCGAAGTGAACGCGTTAGTCAGGAATTCTAACGAGATTGACAGCACGTACTCCCACGAAAAAAGGGAAACCTCTCTATTCTGCGAGATCATTATACTATTTTCCGTCCTGTTTCATGATGAGGTGAAATTCACAGAAAAGTCGCTGCGGATAAAATTGAGTAGGGGTCAAAGAAAGTACCAGGAACACCATCAATATAAGAAATGACTATGAAGCGAACCAATATTTACTTACATGTATATTAAACTATGGAAACTCCTAAGTTCCCATGGTCTTTACCGCCATCTTCATGGTATGATCTTGCATCTACGTCTATAGGTGATAAAAAGCCATTGATCTAAACTTGAATATCTTATTACGACTTAAGGTGCTACGACACCATCTTTATGGCAGCCAATCGCGGCATAGCTGTAGATTTAAGACTGGAAGCAGTGGCCGCTTGGCAATTACTCACTGAAATGCACAGACTTTGACATACATCATCAATCGACTGTTTTGTACAAATGCAAAAACGGTGATCCACGAACGTTTTTTAGGGATGCATAATAATTCGAAATTCTAAGCCCTTCACTATTGTTGAGCTCTATTTTCGAAATAGATGCCCTATGTAATGGATGGCATGGTATACGCGGAATGCTAAAGAAGTCTAAACAAAACGTACCACTGATATTCATACGTTAAATTACCGTTGTGACAACTATTGTATAAGTGTAAAATCTACCATAAACACTGAGAACGAGCCTCATAATAACTAAATAACCCAATTACTTGAAGCTAAGAATCTTCCTGTGAAATGGGTTAAAATGTTCCAAAACCTTCCAATAGCATTATTGGAGAAATATTTGTAGAACAAGGCAATCGATCTTGGTCACTGCAATCAACTGATATCTAAGTCTTCTTTTTGTATTCCAACATTCTTAATTCACCTTCTCAAACGAATAGTTTAATTAAAAGGAAACCCTGCACTTGCTTTACGTCGAAATCCACATGAGGTGTGCCGCTAACGTTATTTGAAAATAAGACTTGTCGCTGTGGTCTTGATTTATCATGTCATCATCGTTATTTTGACTTTCGAGTAGTTTCACACCTTCAACATCCTTTTTTATTTGAAGATTTTCAATAGTTAACTCGATGTGCTACACTTTTATTGAATTGGCTTTCCAGACCTTCGCTTCACTTATTTGCTCGTTTTTCCTTTCAAATGACTGCTTCGAGTTGTAGTCTACAATGTGTTGCACCTTGGTCTGTCACTTGATGGAACTCACATTAGATAAATACGAACTAGTTGCGAATTTTAAAGATTCTTCGAAACAGATAAAAACATAAAGAAAGACCAGAATTTAAAAGCTAGTTTATAAAAAAACATTCCCAAAATCCCTAATTAAATCCTCTTGTAAAATTTAAGCGTCACTAAAATATCTTACTCTGCAGACAAAATAGAAAACACCTCCCCGACACATTCAAACCAAAAAAGTGGGCTTCATCCACTAAAAACTAGTTGAATTACTGTTTACATCGAATACTGTTAGACTTAGCGCCAGTGTATCTCCCAAAACCAATTTGCATCCGAGTTTGATAAATGAGAGCACTAATGAAGAGAGCTAAACACCTCAAAGAATCAACACCCGGAAGTTGCGAAGACCTCAGCTAGACGATGAGGAAGCATCATGAAGGATGGTATGATCCATGAACCATTGTAAAATAATGTTTAAGTAATTAGTCTTCCTGTGCCATTTCTATTAATGTATAAAAGAATTCTTTGATTCACATTTGAGACCAATTGACTATATCATTCTCGTTCTTGCCTCTCAGCTCAAAGGCTTAACGTATGGAAGCTGAGTAAACTATAATTGAGGGACTAAACAACGTTTCACTAAGTCATTAAGCGAGGTAAGGATTAGGAAAACCACTTACGGTGACTGTGCTCCCGAAAAGTACTGACCGCGATTGCCTCCACTAGCAGAGTAAGATCTTCCTATAATCAAAAAGAGCGAGAAAGGTGTTGGTATAACCAATGGCAGACCCATTTGCATCCCCAACCTCATAGTTAGGCCGAAATCGGACTACAACACCACAACAAATGCAAAAATGGGTGTTAGAGGCGTCTGTAGCGATGTTAGAGATGGTGAATATTGATGTAAGAGCGTACTGCTGAAGCTTCTATTCTGCGTCGCCCCTTGCGTAGACTGGGGCCGCATAGCGGGAGTGATTGGCTGGTGTAAGGACGTTCTCCGCGAACGAAGTTGGGCGAGATTACGGCTCTGTATGGTAGCGCCGGCAGTTGATGTGGTCGGGGGTGCCACGACCGCAGTTACGGCTGGTGGACGGGGGATGTTGGGGCCGATGGAGTACTTACTTGTCGTTGAGGCTCTATCACCATCCACTGAATGCATTTGGTGTTCAGAAAACATTTTGCTGCCTTAATACTGTTTCTATGTTTCGGATTTCTCAGTGAACGTATGCCTTTCCATTCTCTTCTTAATCGGCCTTCATGCAGGTGAAATGAAACTCACTAATGTCCCAGCCCTTCTGTAAGCTTATGGTACAATCAATTTCACACTATAAAGTCACTGCATTAGGACCAACGTGGTGGACTGTATCTGATATTGTTTTCTCTCGTGAAGAATATGATTGCATTTTTTACCACTTTGATGAATCTATGCAGTCATTATACAAGGATTGTTGAAACCACATTGATCTTTGGCAACCACCCAGAACTCAAGTTTTGTCTCGTAATCAGGAACGGAGTGGGAACAGACCTAAACGATTTTAAACCATTTACTGAGAAACTGCTTAAAAACTTTGTCGAAAAGGTTTAAAATTCCAAAAGTTTAAAATCTCCCCTTATGGCAAGGGCCCGAAAATGACCCATACAGATGGGTGAGTAATCTTAAAATGGGAATAAAAGGTAAAATAAATAGTGAAATGAGGTTGGAACTCAAGGGAGCTTTCCTATACCATACAATCGCTATGGGATATTGTCCAGGCGTAAACGCTGCTTTTTAAATAAGTCATCTCAATGACATTTTTCAGTCAAGGATATGGTAGATGAATCATGAGACTCAGATGGTTTCTCGAAATTGTAGAATTTCATTATATGAACTTTGTTTCTGCTTCATTGTTAAATTTAATTCACTGAAACTTTGTCCCGATGAATGACAACAAAGAGCAACCCGCGGAAACGTCAGAGATGGCGTTCGAAATAAGGCAGAAATTATGTCAAGAATAATATTTCACGTCCACAATCTAATCACCTTAACTACTAGTCCCTCAGTTCCTTGGCGTGCCTATGACAAGCCAAATTCCTGACTCGTGTACCTTAGGTAAGTATGGAGGTGTAACTCAAACACTAAATCATACGCTCACAATAGCCTTACAACAAAACAATGGCTGACCTGCAGTGTGTGATCCAGCTCTGGGCAGAGTAGCCGCACTTGATCCTGACTCCAGATCCTGAATTCCACGTCCAATGGGCAAGAGGGAGACAATTTCCTGGCATATTTCTCCATACCCCGTCTCCGACATGCGTCGTGATGACCTCAGATACTAAGAGTAAAGACAGGAAAATGTCAAAATATTTCTCCCAACCACAAGCGGGTGTTTGAACTGCGATTCGAAGGAATGTTGGAGAATGAAGGTGAAGTTCAGCATAAGCGAAATTTTATTATCCTCCACACCGTATTAATATCCTTAATTTATTTGGATTGTGGTGATAAAGGAAAAAAACACCCAAATGACAATTTAAGTGGTACTAAGTTTCAAATGATGATCAAATTTCTCCTCCCAAGACACTTGTTAAGCACAATTTAACATTGTCGGGAAGTGCGAGAGGAGAGAGCATTTAGAAAGGGTGCTAAAAATGGTTGAGAGCTAAATAAAAAAAGGCAGAACAAATATTTGATTAGACTAGGAGAAATACACATATAATCACTTCGTTTGAAGAGGCCTGATGGCAACAGTAACGGATTTATGGTTGGCATTGGCTGGAAGCAAAATGAGAAGGTAATTTATATCTAGCGACTTTTAGCATTGTTTTGCAGAAAGAGAACTGCCCCTTTTGTGTGGAACTTTAGACAAAAGGATTTAAAAGTGTAAAGGCACAAAAATTTCACTGATTTTATTGGAAAATGCATTGGTTTTAAAATTACTACTATTTACAAATATACTGCAAGAAGTGGTAGGACTTTGATGATAAATCGATAAAGTGCCTTATTATTACTATTAAATAATCGATCACGAGGTGATTATTATCTGTTTTTATGGAATTTTGCTTCTACTAGTTGATATTGTTGTCTTTTAGGCATATGAAAGCAAATGTTTAGATTGGAAAAGGCAGAAAATTTAGGCGACGAACGATAAAGGGCGGTAGTGAAATAATGAAGGTAATTATGGTGAGGATAATATGCGCACTGAGGTAAGTCGTTCGGGTTGGCTTTTCGGTGAGGCGGAAGTTACCGGAGTTCGTATTATCTAGTTGAAAAAAGTGCATAAAAGCAAACAATTTTCGTCACTTTCTTACACCGTTGTCTAAACAAATATTTCATGTCTATGATAATCGTATTGAAATGTGTTCGCAAATAAGGGAGACTGGGCTGTGACTGAAATTCAACAAATGGTTATTTAGTTATTGTCATATTTCAGCTCTTTTAAGGGGCTATCAAAAACGCAACTAGACTTATTAATTAACAATTGATGTAGTTATGAAACTACCAAGCCGTTTTTCTCAAAACAATGTAAGCGGATTTATTTTTATTTGTTGGCAAAAGCGCAAAGTGTGCACCTCATTTAGAAAAAAGCATTTTTCTGAAAAAGAAATAGCACTTATTAAAACATGCACGTTCAATTTATGACTGCATATAAATGAAAGATCAACCCAAATGCACTAATGAAAGACAACTGTTGGAGCACAGGATAGAGTCAAAATAATTGAATATGTGAGATTACCTTTTTAAAGTACATGATAAAGCACTACAGGAAAATCTGATTTGTACTTTCTCTTACTAAAAAGGGTTGCACATACAGCGACGCAATTCGGCCATTTACTGATCTTCTTTCAAAATTAAGTTATTGAGAGTAATCGCCTTTTCTAATCCAACATGCCACATCCCAGCTGAAAAAAAAATGCTCTAGAAATTGAAAGTATACGCTTAAAATAGGTGGAGCTCTTTCACAGAGAACCGATGATTTAGTAGAGATGCTTTATAGAGGTCGCCAGTATCACGGATGTAAGGTTTTTACCACGCATTAAATTCATTAAAATATGTATGCATGATTTTTAAGCAAGTGGTGGATGGAAATTTTTCAAAATTGTTAACACAAACATAAATTTAAAACTACATCAGCAAGAATACCAGATAACAAAGTCAGAGAAAGAATAGCTAAACAAAATGAAATGTTTTTGTCAATTTCACAAGGGAATCTATATCCGTATGGCATTCTGGCCCGTGACATTTCGTTCCTTAGGTGTGCTTGTTTGAAATTTTTAGAAATAGTAGTTTAAACGGTTGAATCACTAGGAACTTTTAGATAATTTTTCGAATATATCCAAATTTCTTAGTCTAATTAACAGAAGGACTTAAGGGACACTAGTTTTTCTACTTGGAATTCAAACCTAACTAAACATTATATTTACATACACGAAATCGTACTAGGTATAGATAATTTTGAGAAGTGGTACCCCCTAAGTTCACTTATCATTTTCGTCAGATAATTCACTGAGCTGAAAAGCATTACTTCTAGACTAGTTTAATTAACTAAATCCATAAAGGGAAAATTCGAAAGAAAGTTTGAAGCCTTAAGATTCTTGCACGAGTTCCAAATTAAAACTGTAGACTAGCCACAGCATTTATTGGATAAAGCTTACCTCAGTTTGTTGGTTTAGCTCGTTCCTTCGACGCAAATTCTCTTGATGTGCTGAGTATGTTCCACAAATCGGTGGCTGTTTCAGGTAAGAACCGGTTTTGAGATTATTTTCTAAATCAAAGGTATTAAATCTTCATTTGCCTCCCATCGAATTTAGATGCTGAATTTCAATTTTGATGCTTCACATTCACTCACCCGAGCTCCACTGATTACGGAGTGTGTTTGAGTATTGATGGATGTTCGTTTGGCTGAAGGTTCGAGGCGGTGCTTCTGAAACCATAAAGGCTGCAAACTTAAAGATTCGTATTTTCCCAAAAGCAAAAGCTCCTGATGATGCAAAATCAGACTCAAATATGCAACATATAAGAGAGCGCATAAGAAAAACATGCAAGGAGCATCAGAAGTAGCCTGAAACCAAAAGAATTGATTATTCGAAACCTTAACTTACTATAACAAATGTACCGTTCTAATGTGTAAATGCAATGTGCAGAGACTCGCCTGAAGTGATTTTAGAAAGACTGGACTTTCTGGAAACATATCTGCCAGCGTCACTAACGGCATTACTGGATGTTCGTGAGATACGAGTCATTAGAGGTGGTTTCCGTCGGTTCTCTTCAGCTAATGAAGGAAAAGGGAAAACAAAAAAGTACCTACAATTCCTTTGGTCTGTTTCATCTAAAAACGCAGAAATTCACGAATTAGTCATTAGGCTCGGAAGCACCAGTGTATTAGTGCCATTTTTCCGATATTCAGCAAGCCTACTGCGGTTAGAACAAAAGGTGAGTGCTGTCAGAAGCGCATGTGTATGTATAGGTGGACTCAAACACTAGATATACCTCGGGTGGAGCGATAGAATTGCATGAAATGCTGCGAACGCAATGATTCATTAGTTGCGTTGGCGATAGTCTGATCTGAGGCCATGTAGTCGTAAAGGCTGACCGGAGGATAAGGTGGCTTTTTCGGAGAGCATGGTATCAAACGAGCTTTGGTAAAAAGGTAGAAGTAGGCTATTTGTTGCTTCGATTGAAAAATTTCTTTAAAATTAACTATCAAGGAACCGTAGCAGGGAAAACAAAATATACTCTTGCAAAAAAATAATACTGGAACAAAGATTTCTATGGGAATTCCAGTAAGAATACTGTTGAAGTCAAATCTGGACGCTTCATTTTACACGTTTGAGGAAGAATGCTACCGCTACCATGGGATTATTACAAGCAATAGTAGTGAGT